TCTAATTTTACTCAAGTTCCACATATTGATCAACTGAGAAAATCAGTTACATCATCATAAAATGCAGACACCAAAATTATTAGTTTGCTTAGGTAGTCATGAAGGGGAGAGGGGAGAAACTGAATGGAGAAGAGGAGCAGAAAGGAAGTGATGGGAGGAGAGGGAAAGAGAAGGGAAAGGAAGGGAGGGGAGGGAAGGGGAAAGGGGAGAGGAAGAAAAGAAGGATGGTATATTTGAATAGACTTATATAATCATTATAATTTTTCCATTTATCACAAGAAACTTTGTGTATTTTGTTCCAAAGCTTTGGGAAACTGACAACTGTTGACATTTTGTATCTAAAGGCTTAGGATGTCCAAAATATAATAAGTAGTTTACAGTTATCAGATTTATGATCATGCAATACCTAATGAAATCATCTGTGAAAGGAGACTGACTATAAAATAAACATGTATTGCCTTATTTCTCATAAATGCTGTTTTCTGGATCTCAAATTTAAGATTCCTAGAAGGTTTTGCAATGCACAATGAAAAAGCAGGCTGTTGGCTTCCACATTTCTTTTGTTTACCTCTGATTTTGCTCAGAATTTCTGAATTATTTGATTGATTCATTTCTAGTTTATTCTCCCCCATTCTTTTGTCACATTAGTTTAGCTTGTGTGCACTCTAAAAGCATTTACAGAGTGCTTAATGTCTGATACTAGAGCACATTTATAATGTTATAGCTCCTGCTCAGAAGGATTCAGTTGAGAAAGAACAAATGGTCGTCTTCCTTTAAAAAAAAAAAAAATCCCTTTACTGTTGGTTCATGGTTCTATAGGGTCTGATAACCCCTCAGATACTTCTCAGTGATTGATAATTTTAGAGTCTTTGACCATTTTAGAATCTTTGATTCTGTTTAAGAAACTCATTGGAATCAAGCCTTCCCTGGCGAATAAAATAAGATCAAGGAACTCAAGAACATTTTATCTGTGTTGCCATCGCCAGTCAATTGATGGGTAGTTTCTGTCTGAGGATTCTGATATTTCTAGGCTCTATGGGAAAGACTACCAAGGCATCAGTCTTTTGTGGAAGTGTTCAAGATCCATAGGAGTTAGATGAAGTGAGGAAATAAGGGGAGAATAATCCTGTAAGAGGGGAAAACATAGGAAATAGAGTGTGGAAGAGCGTAGTGCCAAAGCAGGGATAAGAAGGGTAGAAATGTAAGAACCTGGTTCGTGGAGCCAAAAGTTTCAAAATACGAAGTTGTGAAACATGAGAAAAAGGAGCCAGGCAGGGTGGCCTATGAAGTTTGGGCTTTACCCAGTTGTTTAATCATTAGAAGGTTATAAGCAGGGATGAGCTTGTTGAGCAGAAGGAAAATGATTGCATTTCAACTATCTGAGTTTCAAAGTGTGGTGATTGGGTCTTAAATTGTTGTTGTAGTGATGGCTTTGACTTGAGGAAGTCAAAGTTCAGAAAACATAGACTGAATTTTTTGGATATTGTCACAATATTCCTAGAGGTAGATTCTAGTAAAGATGAGAAAGAGAATGTAAAGAAAAACTTAACAGGAAAACTTGCAAATGGCCAGGGAAGGAGGATGAAGGAAGGAGCAAAGTTTAGATGGATATTAAACAGTATAGGTGATGTACCATGAAAATACATATAACAAAATGCTAGATTTTAATTTCATAGAACATTTGATCTACCTCTTTGTTAACTCTCTTTTTGTTAAGGAAGAAGTTCATATATATCATTTTAAAGCCAAATGCATGTTTCCTATTTTTTAAAGCTACTAGAAAATAAATTATGAAGGATATGATACCAGAAAATATATTATCTGGTCTCTTTATCTCTCTATCTCTATATCTATCTATCATCTATCGATCTATCTATAAGAATAATAGAGTCCATTATAAAAAAAAAAAATACAGCACTGACTTATGAGCATGGTGACATTATTTATTGTCAAACTTGGGATACTCTTAAGAGTGAAAATTGGAGGGAGTGAGCAAAATAAAGTTATTACAACTTTTAAAAATATTTATTATCAAACAAGTTATTTTATGTATCTATATATAAAAGTTATTTTAAAAACGTATTTTCAAAATTAAAATTTTAATAATACTTTTTTAGAAATAAAAACAACTTAAAATTAAAAAATAAATCCAGATAGGGCATTGGCACAGTAAGCATCAAGTAGAACTGTCCCTGGCAAGCAGGAGTATGGAGTATGGTCACCCGAACGTAAAATTCAGAAATGGATTTTATCTGCTAACTCCAGAGGAAATAGTTTCACCATCACCCTTTGTTTTTCATTCATTTCTGATAGGAATCTAACAGTAACTCCATGGATGGCTCGTGTCCACACATGGGCTCACATTCTAGAGGTTGTTATGTGAACCATGATTTCTACGTTACAATTATAATTCCAGCATTGTGTGCTCTATCATGCATTAGGAGAAGGTACTGGCTGGCTCTGTCTGTGGCAGAACATTCTGCTGGTTAGGAAAGTGACAAGATAGGAAAAACCCTAAGGATATGCTGGATACATTTTGTCATTTGGAGAATACCAAAATGTCAGGGTCCATCTTAGGGAAAGAGCTGATCAAGCCCCAGGGGGAAAATGATTGCATTTCAACTATCTGAGTTTCAAAATGTGGTAATTAGGGTCCTCCTAGTTGATAATTTTTTTAATTAAAAAATATATAGCTAGAGTGGTAGAGACAAGAACAGAGCTTTTGGCTTCTGGTCTTTTGGGGCAAGTAGGAATCTCTTTGTATCTCATTAGACCACAGCTTTTTTTAGCAGCCTTTGCCTTAGTTATTGTATTTACCGTTCAAAAATGGTTACTATGGAGAAGAATAAAAACTTCCTGTGCCCTTTTAGTATTTGGTCTTATTATTAAACGAGAGGTCCAGTGCATGAATTTGTGCACAAGTGGGGCTGGCCTGCATGCCCAGATCAGGGGCTGATTGGGCCAGGGGGAGGGGCTGCAGGTGGTTGGCTGGCTAGTTCCGCCCCTGGTTTAATTCCATTTAAACCACTGGTCAAAGTCCTGGTTGAGGGGACAATTTGCATATTAGCCTTTTATTATATAGGAATAGTTAGAGCAAATACTTTAGAGTTTGCCAAATATGCCTTAAACTTTAGGTGTACTAATACCCCCTGAGTATCAAATTACTCAAGGCACCTTTTCTGGTTGGGAATAATCTTGTGGAGTTTGTGACAGTATAGTGATCAGAATTAAATGAGATGTTCCGATTAAAGTCCCTCTACAATGTATGATAAATACTAGGTGAACAATAAATGACAGCTGGAATTGAAAATGAAGAAATTAAAGGTTTCATGTTGGTACAGCCAGATTTGGATAAAATTGTTACACAGGCTCTTCATTCTCCATTTCAGCCTCCATCCCACTCTTCCTCACAGTTTCCCATCATCTTCTATTACCAGTACTTGAGGCTCTTATTGCACCATTATACTCCCTTCCTGTCTCACATTAGCATATTGTGTTCCTGATTTATCTTCCTCATCCCATTCCTCTTAGACCTCCAAGTCTCATGATTTATGATTTTGTTGCCTGCCATATTTAACCATGAAAAAGTTCTGTCAATGTAAATTATTCCAAAACATTAAAGACTAAAATCATTTTAATATACTAGTCTTGCCAGCACATAGGTCTATTTTAGTGAAGGTGTCAACATCATAACCTAACAGAGTAAAAGTGCAAAACTTAAATTTGGAGCATCAGTAATAGGGAGAGAAAACATATTTTTAAAAAGAGGAACTCAATAATAATAAAAATGAGCAGCTAACATTTATTGGTTGCCAACTCTATCTTGCACTGTGCTTTATATGCCTTGACTCATGTGACACTCACAACCAATAAGTTATGTGTCATCATTACTATTTTTGTATTGAGGAAATTACAGCTTAGAGAGGTAAAGCAAATTGCCAAAGGTCATATATACCTAATAAGTGAAGAAAACAGGCTTAGGACTCAAATCCATCCAACTTACCACCATCTCTCTCTTGCAATCACTTGCAGGCTAAATTTTCATCAGGCAGGTATCTGTGTCTCTTCTTATCATCATTTGCTAAAGCCTCGTACAGTGTCTGGCACATAGTCAACAATAAACTAATAGTTGATGCATGAATTAATAACTAAATATCAATTCCACTAAAACCTCCTACCCATTTACCTCTCTGGTATCATGTCTTTCTTGGAGGCTATGCCTTGCCCAATATTTCAGAACTCTGAACTGCCAGTCATCCCATGTATAATGCTCTGCTTCCTTCAGTATGCCTCCATCTTCCTGTCCTCTGCCTGGAGTTCCTTCCTCATTTCCCCAGAAATTTCTGGGCTAACTTCTAAGAGCTCAGGAGTGGTCTTTCTCCATGAAGCTTTTTATCTCTTTGGCCTTTTCCTATCCTCTCCCTCACTATCTCCTTTTCTCTTCCTACCTCAGCCCTGTCAGGGTTCTCTTCCACTAGACCATGGTCTGACATATTTTTGTACCCTTTTTTTGGATCTGACATATTTTGCATATAACATATTATGTATGCTTCTTGCCTAGCCCAGTTTATTCTAAGGTACATATATATATATTTTTTATATTTTAACATCTGTGAAATTGGGATACATTTTCCAATTAATGATATCTTATCAATAAAATTATAATTAATTGTGTTTTTTTCTGACAGTGACACAAAAGTAATGATTGATTATATCCTATCATCAATGGCATCTTAGATTAAATGTAATGCAATAATAGATACTGAATAAATGTTATATGAATGAATGAATAGCAATCATAGCCATCCTCAAGTTACATTATTATTACTATATACAACCTAGCTGTTCTGCATCATAGACAATGTGGCAGAGAAACAATTGAGAATTCTTTATACATGCTGGGCTTTCCTAGTAAAACTAAGACAAAAAAACTAGGTCAAATTATTCTTAATCATTTCTTTTTGGACCAATGTGATTTGTTTCCTATGCTTGTATTCTAGGTGAAATTGATCTTCAAATTCTCACCAAAGTGCAGGATCAATTCCCAGGAGTTCACATTAACAATGAAGTTGTTGAACCAAGTGCTGAACAAATTGCCAAGTACAAAGGTACCTGTAACCCAGGATGCTATATGTCAGATTCTATCCCAAAAGGCTTATCATCCCAAACTTGCCCCTTTAATCATTAACAGCATTGCCATTGTAGTATGTACTTAGTAAGCTTAATGGGAGAAGGACCTAATCAATTTGTTTCCTTGGCAGGGATAAACACCTTAGAATATAAACAGTAAATAATTTCATTGACCATCAATTATTATTTTTTGATGTTTATTCTTAGAGACAGTTATTAATTCATTCAGAAGTATTTAATCAGAATCTCTGTCCTTAAAGGCTTTATGATCAATAGGTTATAGTAGAAATTTGCAACCTTTTTCTAAAAAAGGTAAAAAAGTTGTAAAATTTTAAATTTAGAAGACCACAGAATCTATCACAACTAACCAACTGGACCATAGTAGCACAAAGGCTGTCAAAGAGACTACATAAAGTAATGCCTGTGGATATGTTCCAATAAAACTTCATTTATAAACATTAAAATATGAATTTGTTATTCACATATAACAAAATAATATTCTTATTTTGATTTTGTTCAATCACTTAAAAGTGTAATGGCATGAGATATGAAAGACAGAGGCATACAGTCAGGACGTAGAATTGTATGTTTGTTTTTATTTTTTTGTTTTATTGTTTTTTATTGTCTAAAGTTTTACATAAGTCTCCTTTTTTCCCAATTGACACCTCCCCCATCCCCCTAGCCATTCCTAGAATTGTATATTTTTAGCTTGCAGTTCATTTACAAATAGGTACTGGGCCAGATATGGTCCATGCACCACATTTGCTGACTCCTGGGTTACAAAATCATATCACCTGTTTTATATCAGTTTTTCATCGATAAAACCCATGAGTTGATTCCCTATTAATATTAAGTTAATATAACCTATGTTTGATCAGGGTCCTCCTAATTATTTCTTATTGACTCTTTCATCTCTAAATTCATATAACACTAGAAAAAAATCAAGATGGACTCTCTGGACTTCCAGAGCTACATAAAAAGGAAAACTATGTTTTATATTTGTTATGTATATAACATTGATTGCATTAAAATTCTAAGTGGAAATAGGGTCCACATTTGCACATTTGCAATTAAAATGGATTGTATGCCACCTCTTTTCTGTGTTTTAGAGTTTGTAGCCAAGTCATCAAACCTTGAGAACATAAAGTTTGCTTGGCATAAGGAGACATCATCTGAATATCAAAATAGAGTGATGGAGAATAGAGAACTTCAGAAGTGGGACTTTATTCATATGATTCAGGTAAGAAGTATTTATTGTTACAAATGCCCAGAAAGGAGATTTAACAAAAGCTAGTCTCTCCACTTATGCTCTGGATCCATTCTTGGCCAGTTATAAGATTTTGCTGCTTCAGAAGTCATTCTCCCATTTCTCTCAAAGCTTCCATGTTTGATTTTTCTTATAGCAACTCTGCTTCTTCTGAATTATGATGCAATTCCTCTCTTACTTTTTATCTACTCTGCATCTTTCTGTCCTGTGCCTCTGTCTCTTCATTGTTCCTCATAATCCTAACACTCTCATAACATTCTTTCAACTTAATATTCACAGTCAACTACAGAGAATCTCATAGTCTATGAAATCAAATTTCAGATCATCTAGTATCGTCCACCTCTACTTTTCATCATGTCATATTATAGCCATCTTATGAGTTAACTGTACCTGGATCCCTGCCTAGGTGTGTTCCCTGTGGTGAACTCCATAGAATGACAATACGAACTATGCTCCAGAGGGGCATAGATTATATTGTGTGTGGGGTTTTTTGTTGCTGTTATTAATCCTCACCTGAGAACATTTTTTTCCATTGATTTTAGAGAGAGTGAAAAGGAGAGGGAGGGAGAGGCAAAAAGATAGGTGGGAGAGAGAGAGAGAGAAATATTAATGTGAGAGAGATACATCAATTGGTCATGGGCCTCAACTGGGGCCAGAGATCAAACTTGCATTACAGATATGACCAGGAATTGAACCTGTGATCTTTCAATGTGAAGGCTGACACACCAACCACTGAGCAACACTGGCTAGGCAAGTTGGTTTTGTTTTATGCAATAATAAATTCTATCATGGGAATCTACATAGAATATTGGATTATTGTCCAAGAGAGTTGAATATGAAATATAAGAAGTAAGTATATATGAAGAATTCAAGCTCTGAGGAATTTTCCACTGCTATTGTATAATCCTAAACTCTCTCTTTGTTGGGTGTATAGGCCTCTCTCTGCACTTCACCAGATATGGTCCAGAATTATTAAAAACTAGAGGCCCCAAGCACGAAATGCATGCATTCAGGGGCGGGACATCCCTCAGTGCCCTCTCGCAGTCCAGGAGCCCTCAGGGGATGTCCGACAACTACAGAGGCAGGAGCGGCTCCTGCCACCTCCTGTGCTCACCAGCTGTGAGCCTGCCATCTGGCTGAGCGGTGCTCCCCCTGTGGGAGTGTACTGACCATCAGAGGAAGCTCCTGCATTGAGAGTGTGGTCAAGCTAAAAGCGGCTCTTCGACATCCCCCAAAGGGTCCCAGATTGCAAAAGAGTGCAGCCCAGCCTGAGGGATCCTACCTGTGCACAATCGGGGCCAGAGAAGGACACAGGAGGTTGGCCAACTAGGAAGGGACCACAAGAGGGCTCCAGAGCATGCCTGTCCCTTCTTGCTCAGACCCAATCGCCCGACCCCAGCAACAAGCTAATGTACCGGTTGGAGAGTCTGCCTCCTGGTGGTCAGTGCACATCATAGCGAGCAGTTGAGCAGCCTTAGCATATGCTTTGATTGGTTGAACTGATGATGGGACGATTGGACACTTAGCATATTAGGCTTTTATTATATAGGATGAGTAGACTGACTCTTAGCATCTGTGACCAAGCATGTAACTTCATGCTTTATTAAATCCTTTCCTAGAGAATATGTCAACATCAGAGCTTTTCACATTTTCCATGATTTAAAAAAAGCATCTGTAAGCACATGGTGAAGCTAGTACAAAGGCACAAAGGGCTTAATTTTAAGGAAACGTTCCATGAAATGGAGTCTGTGTTTATGGTGACAGCACCATTTTCTCCCAGAAAATTAAAAGGCACCAAATGTGGAATAAGCCTAGAAGCATCGCCTCCATGTGGAACAGAGACTGAGTGTCTCTAGCTGTAGATATCATTGTTATTTAAGCCAGAAAGAGTAAATGTAAAGCCATTTGGTTCTTGTTGAGCAAATAAAAGTTTTCCTTTTTCCCCAAAAATGTTTATTCTATCTCTCCATATAACATTTTTATTTTTTAGATATCTTAAATGTTTTGTCCAGTAAAATTCATGCCACTTAAAAATCAAACTATCTAGTGAGTATCTGGCCCAAACGCACAAAGATGTTGAGGTAGAAAAGTGTTTCATGTCTCTTTTCCTTCATTTCTAGATGCTGTATTATGTAAAAGACATCCCAGCTACCCTGAAGTTCTTCCACAGTCTCTTATCTACCAATGCTAAGCTTCTTATTGTTCTTGTGTCAGGTAAGTTATTTTTATCCGGCTTGAATAGATAACAGTATTGCATATATGTATGGATGCATATGTTTGAAGGTCAATTGAGGAAAGGCCTTCACAAAAGCCCCCAATTTAGGGGGTCTCATGGCATTAAATGCCTGTTTACTTCTTTCTCCTGAGAAAATTTGTTATCTATATGTAAATTATCTTTTATTGTTCCTAGAGCAAATACAACTGTTAGTAACTTTTTAAATGAGACTAAAAATACTAAATATTTCTATTTGCTCCTTTGTGTCTATTGAATGTCTCTCTCTTTACCCTCTGGGATGTTTATTAACAAATAAATAAAGGTTAAACCATTTGGGGTACCATCATATTCAGCTAGTTTGCATTTCCAGACCCATTATCATTAGGTTTTCCCAAATAACTACTAAAATTAGTTCAGTTGTTTTGTTTTATGTGCTTTATTTTTCAAATAAAGCATTTGATCCTCTCCTGTCGCTTCCAGGGATATAATAAGTACCACACAGAGAGCATAAGTAAACATGTTAGCAAATTGAGGCATTGTAATTGTTGAATTCATTACTTCATAATTTCTTTCATTTGTCAGTCTTTATGGACTGTCCATGCAGTGCAAGGCAGGTTAATTATAGATATAAAATAGTTTCTATCTTCTTAAGCTTATACCAGACCCCAAACTCAAAAATCCTTGTCACAAAATCCATTTTTTCTTAAATATGAAGAATGGTTTGGGGGATGATAAACATGGTTGTTAGCCTTAAACCAGGGTTTGAACTCATGTGGGAGTCTGGCAAGTGAGCACTCCTGTACATAACCCTTTCCCCAAGGGAGCATGTTGATATGCTATTTTTATCTCTGGTTATTTAAAAATACTCATTTAAGTGGGAGAGTTCTGTCTTCTTATTTAGAAGTGCTTATGTGAACTGGCTAATCTCTCTCTAACTTAGGAAACTTGGGTAAAGCACTTTGTTCTACTCTTACCAATTCAAAAGTAAACTTAATTATCAACATTAAATACAGCCTGTTGACAATCTGTATCAATAGTACAGAAAAAGTGTTGTAGACAGGAACAGCAATTCATTCAGAAATCATGTTTTATTTTAGAATGTATTGAATATCCATAGAAGACCCACTCTTATGTTTGGTTTATTCTTAAATATTTTCAGAAGTAAAGTATTCGAGTGTCAAAGGGCAGCTTTCTCTGAGTAAATGTCTACCAATAAGAAAAAGGCAGCCTGTTTAGAAAGTGGCATGAGCAGTCTACAAGCAACTGAGAATTGCCTAAGTGTCCTTATGGATATAAGATTCTGCTGGCTATACCATGAATCAGTTCATATAATCCATGGTATATTGGCATTGAGAAGTGTGCAAACTAAAACAGCCCACTGAAACATATGATGATACATGAAGAAAGAATGCTGAGGCACTTCCTAGCAGTGTGAACTTGGTCTATGAATCTAAGTTTATTCAAGGGCTATTTCTAGATAATCATACTTACATTAGTGCACCTGTGCATATATGTGATTCATATGTTCTATGTCTATATACTTTTCTGGGGAAAATCAAAGAAAAGGAGTAAAGGATTAAAATCAGTTAGCTTTTTCTAAAGTATTTTAAGTAAAACATTATTTAGTCAGTGTGGTTTGATGGTGAAAATATTTTACCAACTTTTTTGGTTTGGAGTTCATAATTTTTCATTACTGCACACAACATTGTAGATGGGTATCCCAAAGAGGAAATATTGTTAATCGTTACTGATCCTAGACATAAGCATGCAACAGATAATAGTTGTTGAATTAGTAACAACTCATTACTTCGTTTCTTTACTATATACACTTATTTCTTAGAAGATTTTATACAGCTATAGAAGAAATATATACATTTATTTTTAAAGAACCACTTAGCAAGTGGAAAAATAGGTTTGGGTATTTTATTTTGGACTTTCCACTTCTCTATTAAGGCTAAATGTTACAGCTTTATTGCTTTTGTTTATCAGGAGAGTTATTAAGTATAAGTAAAAAAATTAAAAACAAACCTTCTGATGCGATATAGTTTGTTTTTTGCAGTTAAAGAAAATATTCCACCTGTAAGGAAATAAAATTGTCATTAACTTAGTGTAACCTGAATGGCTAATACTTAACTCTTAACAATCGGAGTAAATGACTGAGCCCTCATCCCATGTGACTTGGTCATCTATCACTTGCTCTGTGACTCCTGAGGAAACCTGGGTCATGATTCTGATGGTTGGCAAACAGTGACAAACACTGTTTGCTCCAAACTTTTCACAGTTCAACTTTGGATTTCTGATGGCCAAACCTTGCATGTGCTGCAGTTTCCTTTTTTGATCCTGTTCTGCTTTACCCCAAACATGGGCATAGCTCTATTTCCCTCATTCACCAAAGCACCGTTCTTTGGGGAGATGTTGACGTGTATGAGGAAGAAGAACAGCAGAAACAGAATTTAGTATCAACGTCTCACAGCCACTCTTTTTCCAGCCCTTCTCTTGCTCGGTTGTGGCCCACTTTCCCTTCACCTAATCATAACGTCTCTCAGACCTCACCCAGATCCTCTTAGCTCAGTACTTTCTCTAAGATACCAACTTCTTACTTCCCCCTTCCGTAGAGCAAACTCCCTTTTCCTCTAGCTCTCTCACCTCGATAAATTTATGCACCTATATATTCCTCTTATCAACAACATATTTTCCCAAGAAAAAATTATATTGCCCACTTAGGGTATAGAAGTGGCTGCAGTTTCCTTTTATAATAGTAGCAGAAATTGCTTTGCTGTTTTAATACAGCCAATATAAACATATGGGTCAGCGTTTATAAAAATAGTCATGGTCAGTTTCCAACAGTGGAAACAAATTTAATCACAAGAAATGTCTAGTCAGATTTGTCTTATATCATTGTTAATCAACTTGTATAAGATGGATCCACATTTTTACTTAGTCTTTTTTTTTTTTCATTTCGATTCCCTGTCTGCCAGCCCATTCTGTGTATAGTAAATAAGCTTGAGAAAGCTCTCCAGGGCATCTGAGGTGTCCAGTCAACTTCCCTCCTCACCCCTGTATAAAAGTCATTGCCCTAAACAGCCTTCTCAGCCCACATTATAATTCCTGAAACCCCACTCTCCATACTTGTCCAATGAAAACATTCTTTAAACTTAAATATTGCCCTAAAACTTGTAACACCTACACCAAAATGGTTCACATTAGGCTCTGTTTTTATCAGGTTTCTCTCAGTCACTCTAAATGGAATCCACTTTATAATTACCTAGAAGTGAAGAAACCTGTTTGTATATTTCCTTGATTCCAGGACAGTATTGTCATTCATAGCTTCACTGCAATGAAGAAAATTGAGTGCTCATTGTAGACAGATTCTGAAAGCCTAAATTAAATTTCATCATTAAATTAAATTAAATTTTTAGGAGCACTCAGTTAGCCATTGTCTTATCCATGCAGATAAAGGTATATCTGCATTAACATCTTGTTCTATGTGGTCATATTAAATATTCACAGCTAAGGCTCTTGTCTGTCGATCTTAGTCACTGACCTGTTACTGAAAGGACAACTTATTTCCTCTTAATAGACTGAGTTACTCATTTATTTGAGCGCCATATAGATACTCATTTTTGCAGTTCATTACATTAGAAGGTAATGAAAAATGGGGTCAGTTTCTAGATTTAATTATGCAGAATACCTAGCATGGCTAAGGATCCAGGTGTGTTTAGCCATATTCAAAACACAGAATGCTCAGTTCCACGCTGGCTGCCCAGGATGATCATTATGGTTCATTCAGTTTTTACTGAGCTCCTGTAGTCCATCACTGCTGTGCTCTGAGGGTTGCGAAGACTATTTTTCCTTTTCCTTTGAAAGGCTGCTAATTTAATGGAGGATTCAGACCAAACATGTGAACACTGAGCGGTGTGCTGAGTTTCCTATCAGAGGCATGAAGGGAGTTTAAGGAGAGTTTTTTGAGAGCAGGGGGCTCTGCCTCTCATTTCTACTCTCAGATCTTGCAAAGCCCTTGGCACCTACAGGACACCCAGTAAATGTGTTTGAATTGAACTGAATAATTGCTTATTATTTCTCCTTTATGTTATCCAAGCTACTTGTTCTGAATGTCCTTCCAAAAAAACACACAAATAAATACCATGTTTTGCTAAAACTTATTACATGTTGGACATGGAATCAGATAGGTAACAGACAGTTCTGGAGATTTGCAGAAAGGTTTAATAAACAGAAATAAAAGACTCAATAAAGAAGATTGCATATTCACACATACAGTCTACACTGACATAGGTGGACAAAAGCAATAAAGGGTAGGCAAGTGGAACTCATGAGGAGAAGAAAGAGAAATTGAAGTCAGAATTAAATGCCAGCATTTGGTGGTCAGCCCATTAGAGTATATGTTGCTTGAATGGGAGAGAGGCTTGCCTCTCTGTTACAGAGCTAGCCCATTTTATTTAACTATAATGAGCAGAAGTTCCTGATTATGAAGATAAAAGATTCAATTTGAAAATAAAAAGAAGAAAACTAAGAACAAAAGAGATGTGTCACACACTAAAATGATGTCAGTGACATGTTTTTTTTTGCAAATGTAGTAGCCAGGTATTAGTTGGATGAGTTGTTAATTCATATGCAATGTGTCTGGTTAAGGGAGCTTAGCCAAAAGGAGAGCACTCAAGTTTTCGGTCCTTCCCACTCCTTACCTGAATAAGGAAGGAGGTAAATCCAGTGCGTGATTTTTAATATAGTGGGAAAAACAATCTGGTTTATTCCATGTTGAAAACAAAAGTAACACCATATGCTGTGCCCACCGAGAGCCATTATGATAATGCATCCTTCAGGAAGTGTATAATTGCTCAGCTCCAAAATGGCACCGAGTCACAGAACACTGAGACCACCAGCACATTTTCTGCAATTAATGTTTTGTTCTTTTTTCTCTGCCAGGTTGAAAAAATTATGATAACAGAGCCTCTCCTCAACCACTGAAATATTTATGTTCTTATCAAGTCTTATTTGTAAGGCAAATTCTTTTTCCGGATGACAATCACTGTATTGGAATGAAAGATCTTTTAATATATCCTCATGACCCTCATTTTTTTCCCATTGAACCGAGGTTTTATTGTTTTCTGCTTCATTCCAATTCCTAGAGCATATCCTGCAGTTATCACTTAATCTTCTGAAACGCAAGTGGAACATCAGTTATCTAGGCTATTTATTATTTACTATTCTCTGCCTTGAGTAGTCTCTTCTGTTTAGTTAAATCTGGGGACTTCAACTTAGTCTGAGGATGAAGGTCAGGGGTGCCTGAGCATCCTGTGATTATATGTACATCTGGGTGGGTGTATCTTGTTTGTGTACTTTTCCAGAGAGTCAGTTATTTTCATTAGATCATAAAAGAGGTTTGGGAACCAAAATAAATTCAAGCCTTTGAAATCTTCGCTTTTAATCCTGGAAGTTCATAGAAAATATATAGTTCTCTGTTATATTGCTTTACCCAAGTCCAGCTTAATTATGTAACTCTTCAAGAATGTTTGCTATGTACCAGTCATGGTTCTAAGTGTCTTACATGTTAAACTCAGTTAATCCCTGCAGAAATTCTATGGATAGATTCTATTATTTTTCCTGCATCACAGTTGATAAAACTGAGGCACAGGTTCAAAAAGTTTAGAAAGGGGAAAAGCCAGGCTTCATACTCAAGCAGTTGGGCATTAGTGTCCACATTTGATTCACTGTACCATCTGAGTATGTAATAGCTATTATTACAGGCATGTATTAGAAGGCCCACAGATCGATTTTCATTTGTTTTATTATAATAATTGATTTCTGAACAGCAAGTTTGCTTTTTCACAGTCTCCAGATTATAACCAGTAGAAATTATCAAACTAATTTCATAATGTAGTGTTCATTTATTTTGTAAGTACTTACTACACACATGCTGTGTGCTTAGCATTGTGCAATGACTCACTTAAAGTATCTCATTTAATACTTTCCAGTGCATTTGAGGTAAGTGTGGTTGTCTCCATCTTATAAAACTGAGGTTCTGGGAGACTAAATAGCAAACCTCATCTCAATTATGAAATGTCAGAAGAATAGTCCAATAACCTATGTCTCTGTCCCCTAGGCTTCTCTTGGCTTCTTCACAGGGCTGGGTTTTCAAAAGTAAATACAATAGATATTGATAAAACTTCCTCTAAAGTTGGGGGACAAAACCTATAGAAATCAACCTAGTAGCCCAAAGCAGGATTTAGTGAATGGATAGACATACGTCTTTAGTTTGAGTAAATCATTATTGTATTTATTGTGCTCTTTCTTTTGATTTCAGTTTTTACTCTTACATGCTCTCCTTTGAACTCAAAACTAACAAATACCTGTCTTGCTTCTATCACCACCTGGATGCCCAATAGGTATCTCAAATTTACAGTTCTAAATGTGAACCATGCAAAACTGCTTTTCCATCATTCTTCCCACTTCCAATAATGGCAAATTTCTCATTTTAGGTGCTTGGGTCAAAATTCTTGGGGTCATTATTGACTTTTTGTTTTTGTTTTTACTCACACTGAGTAAGGAAATTGTTGGCATCTGGCAATGTATGTAGGAGGGTAGCATATAAAACATCCAGCCACTTCTCATCACCTCCAAGCTTGCTGGTCCAAGTTACCAACATCTGTCACCCAGGTGATTGCAGTCACCTTCTCACTGTTCTCATGACCTTATGCTCCTATACTTGCTTCTCATCTATGGGCCAGAATGATTTTATTAAATATAAATCACTCTAATGTCAATATGGAAACCCCATTTGGATACTGAAATTTAAGTAACCTAAGATGAATTATAATGTAAAATATATTTTCTCAGTCACACAGCCACAGTTAAAATGCTCCATAGTCACAAGTGGCTACTTTATGGGACAATGAAGATACAGAACATGCCTTCAGTCCAGTAGGTTCTATCAGACAGCACTTCAGTGGCTTTGCATCTCCTGCCACTTTCCAATTTCACCAGCTTCCTAACTAGTTCTTAAACATGCCAAGCATGTCCCTGCCTCAAGTCCCATGCAATTGCTCTTACCACATCCTGGAGTAATCTTCCCTCCTCCGGCCACCAACAGGCACCTGGGACCACGGCTGGCTGCAGGTGGCCCAAGGGACTGGGCTGGCTTTGTCAGGAAGGATGTCCGGAAGATATCAGTCTAATTGGCATATTAACCTTTTTTGTTATAGACTAGAGGCCCCTTGCAGGAAGATTCCTGCAATAGGGCTTCCTGCTGTGGTCTCTGCTGCCCCGCCTGCTTCCCTTCCTTCTTCCCCGCCCCACTTCTTGCTTTTCTGCAGCTGCTCCCTTCTGCAGCACTTGGCTTCTTTCTATGCTGTCTTCAGTCTTCACCCTGGCCTGGATATGCAAATTAACCACCATCTTGGTTGGGTTAATTTGCATATTTACCCTGATTGGCTGGTGGGTGTGGCTTGTGGGTCTAGGGAAGGTACGGTCAATTTGCATGTTTCTCTTTTATTGGAGAGGAAGGTTTGTTATGTCTGTGCTCAAATGTCATCCCATAAGAGAAAATGTCTATAACCACCCTATATAAAACAGCAGACCATCTTTGATTTCCTTATTTTTTGCTCTGGTTTGTTATCATTTGCACTCAGTATCATCTTACATGTGATTTATTTATTTATTTATTTATTTATTTATTTATTAGCTTTCTCCCTACTCCCAACTCCTCACTCCTTGAATAAAGCTACACAAAGGCAAGGATATTTTTTTAATTGACTATTTTATCCCAAGTATCTAATTCACTGCCTGGCAGGGTACCGTAGTAAATGAAAGAAAGAGTGAATGAAAGCATGACTTTGTTTTCTCACAGGAATCAGTGCCTGGGACAAGCTATGGAGAAAGTATGGATCCCGCTTACCCCGAGACGATCTCTGCCAGTACATCACATCCACTGATGTCACTCAGATGCTAGACAAGTTGGAGATTAAGTATGAGTGTTCCCACCTTCTGTCCACCATGGATATATCTGACTGTTTTATTGATGGCAATGAAAATGGAGACCTGCTTTGGGATTTTTTGACAGAAACCTGCAACTTTAGTACCACAGCTCCACCTGATCTCAAAGCAGAAATTGTAAAAGATCTGCAAGAGCCTGAATTCAGTGTAAAGAAAGATGGAAAGGTTCTTTTTAATAACAGTCTGAGTTTCATAGTGGTTGAGGCATAAATATCAATCATGAGAAGAATGTATTCAAAAATTATATCTTAAACAATGTGTATCACTGATGTCTGTATTAAAGATTACAAATACACCTCATAATAAAATAGAGCATTGTCTCATATGTAAAATCTAGAAAATTTCAAAACATTCTTGGACTTCCATGTACAATCATATATGAAATTGTTGGTCTTATCCCATACCTTCTCCAGTAAAGAGACTACCTGCAGGCTAAACACCGCATATGTTGGGAAAATGAAACAACTAAGTTTTACTGGCTTGTTGTCAATAAAATCCTTTCCAATTTTTTATTGTATTGGAATTTCCTAGAATATCAATAAAGTATATACTATATATTCATTAAATAATAGTAAAGTAGATGCTTATGATATTTTGAACACTAAAAAAGTATATGTTTATTTATTTTCCACCTTTTGTGAAATATTTGTACATCCAACTACTATAGTTTTTATCTTATTTTTAATGATTACTAAAACAGTAAAGTTTCAGGGTATTTTAAAAAACTTATTGGATTTACTTTATTTTAATTTTAATAATAAATACCCATGACCCTCACAAATTAGTACATCCTATATAATAAAGAGGTAATATGCAAATTGATCATCACTCCAACACAAGATGGCTGCCCTCATGTGGACACAAGATGGCTGCCACAAGGTGGCCAGCAGGGGAGGGCAGTTGGGGAAGACTAGGACTACAGGGGAAGGCAGTTGGGGAAGGGGGAGGCTGGGCCTGCAGGGGAGAGCAGTTGAGGGGGGGACCAGGCCTGCAGGAGAGGTCAGTTGGGGGCAACCAGGTCAGTAGGCAGTTAGGCATCAATCAGGCTGGCAGTGGAGTGGGGTGATCATGCTGGCAGGCAGAAGTGATTAGGGGCAATCAGGCAGGCAGGCAGGCAGGTGAGCGGTTGGGAGCCAGCAGTCCTGGGTTGTGAGAGGGATGTCCGACTGCTCATTTAGGATGTCTGGTGGGATCAGGCCTAAACAGGCAGTTGGACATCCCAGGAGGGGTCCCAGATTGGAGAGGGTGCAAGCTGGGCTGAGGGATAACCCTCTGTGCAGGGATTTCATGCACCGGTCCTCTAGTCTCTTTATATAAGTAAATAATTGATTGTATAATAAGTAAATAAATATATTTTTAAGTAAATAAGTTAACTATTACTCCCTATTAGAAACAAAACAAAAATAATGTTTACTAAAGCATTCATGAACTCTCATTCTCCCAGGAATGAAGCCTTTAACACAGTGTGATGGTTTCTCTTTCACAGTACAGAGCTACCACTTAATGCTGCTGATAGTCACTTTAAAGAGTTAATGTCCCTCCCTAGTCTCTTCGCTGAGGCCCAGGGAATATGCTGCAGTACAGAGCCTATCTGCATTTAAAAATGACTACACTGTGTTGTTCAGAATAAGTAAAACTGACCTACCCTCTTTTCTTGGACAACTTCATCAATGTTTTTTTTTAATTATAAGTTCCAACAAATGAAATGACAGTTATCCAATCAGATTCTTAAATATGAACTCTGAACCATTAATCATACTGATACATACTACTGACAGAGGAAATCTATGAGGCACTCAAGATTAATTAATATGGACCATGGTGACCTTGAACAATTTTGTCAAAATGATGGAAATCAAGACTCTACAGAGAAAATTACGGCATTTTCTAAAAAGGACAAATCCAAAACAAAACAAGAGTAGAACTAACATGCTACTTGAAGATAGAAAAGAATAGCAGCCCGTAGATGGATATTTGTAAATATGGCCTTTTACTCAGCCCTATACAGTCCTTACTATAAAATACAAGGATAGCTTTGGTTGGCGTGGCTCAGTTGGTTGGTCATTGTCCCGTGCATGGAAAGTTTATTGATTTGATTCTGAGTCAGGACATATGCCCTGATTGTAGATTTGATCCCCCGTAGGAGGAGGCATACAAGAGGTAGCCAATCAATCTTTCACTCTCACATTAATGTTTCTCTCTCTCTCTTTCTTGCTCTCTCTCAAAAAATAAATTTAAAAAATCTTTAAAATAATACAAGGATAAACAAATCTGCATTTGCTTCAATAGAATGTAATGGGAACACTCAATCCTCTCTAAAGGTAAGATCTCCATGAGTACATATCAGTTGGTGGTAGAAAGGTATATAGGTACAAAGGATAGAACTATTGGTTTCTGTCTATTCTGCCTGATATTACAAAGGATTGAGGCAGTCACATACTGACTTTTCAAGTTTATTCTTGAGGGTCACAAAAAAGCCTGTGACATAATTTAAAACATTATAATATGCATCATTGTACATCTCTCAGCATTTAACATAGTGCCACACATATGGAAGATGCTGACTAATGGTTTTTCAGTGAATTATTTTCAAGCATCTCTTTTATAACTATGTGTTTATATTCTTATTGTAAGCATAGCTCACACACAAAAAAAATATCAAAACTGTTGCCCTTAGTATTAGTATAAACTTTAACTTATTTAAAGTGGAGCACAGTGTTTTAGGGCTTGGCTATTTGCTTATTATAAAAACTGGCAAATGTCTTCATTGAAAACTGTCAATTTGGGCAAAATATTTTAAGTTTCTAGTGTACATACATAAAACAGATACATAGATCACAGAGAATACTAGATCTTAAGCTGTCAAACTGCACAGCCCCAAAGGTATGTTTGTTATATTTTTTAAGAATAGCAAACTCAAAATATGTTGACATTTTAAAAGCACATTTGCATGTGTTTACCCCCTCAGAATGTGGTTTCTAAGAAAATAAGGATTTTTTTTATTTTTTATTTTTTGCTAAACCCGCAGGGGAATAAATGTATGAAATAATCTTTTTAGATGAAGAGGTTAGATCAGGCTTCCTGGGTTTGAATCTTGTTTCTGTTAACTCACTGAGCAATCTCAGGCAACTTATTCTCTCCCTATTCCCATATTTCCTTATCTTTAAAATGAAGATAAGTATAGTCCCTACCTCACAAGATGGTTGTGAGGATTTCAGGAGTTAAACTACATAAATATTCTCATAAAGTAGCAACAGGCTCAAAGGGAATTAAAAAAAAAAAACCATTAACTATATTATGAATTGCTCATAAAATTCAATAAAAATTTCAGAGCAGGGAAAAATATTAAATTAAGGTAAATTATGACTGATGCCAGAGAGCTAGTACTGAGAAAAGCTAACCTAGCTCCTGACCTTGACATTTCTAGTCAAAAGTATATGGCCTCTCTGTGTCTATTAGCTGGTGCTTCACAAAACTCAAGGTAGCATCAGGGTTGGACCACTTAAGCCCCACTTAGGGAATCTGCCTGCCTGACACTGTAAGTACCTGAACTCTGTACTGTGTGAACTGATCCCATCTCAGTTCTCTCTCTGAATAGGCCAATGGGTGGGACAGATGACATAAGAAGGCAATCCATAGGCTTGCCAGTATTTGATTGGAGTGGTTCCTTTTGAAAAGCATGAAATTGATCATTTTTATTCTCTTAGAAATCCTATGTAATAAAGAGGTAATATGCAAATTGACCATCATTCCAACACACAAGATGGCCACCCCCATGTGGTCAAAGATGGCAGCTACAAGATGGCCATCAGGGGAGGGCAGTTGTGGGCAATCAGGCAAGCAATGGAGGGAAGTTGGGGGGGACTCAGTTCTGCAGGGAGGGGCAGTTGGGGGGGAGAAGGCCTGCAGGGGAGGGCAGTTGGCGGTGACCAGGCCAACAAGGGAGAACATTTGGGGATGACTGGGCCAGCAGGGGAGGGCAGTTGGGGCAACCATACCAGTAGGGGAGGGCAGTTAGGGGCAATTGGGTTGGAAGGGGAGCAGTTAAGCATCAATCAGGCTGGCAGGGGAGTGGTTAGGGGATGATCAGGCTGGCAGGCAGATGAGAAGTTGGGAGCCACCAGTCCTGGACTGTGAGAGGGATGTCCCACTGCCCATTTAGGCCTGATCCCAGTGGGCAGTCGAACATCCCTTGAGGGGTCCCATATTGGAAAAGGTGCAGGCTTGGCTGAGTGACACCCCTCCCCCGACAGTGCATGAATTTCTAGTTAAGAAAATAAAAGTAGATAAAAAGAATACCAGATGGTATAATATTAGAGTTTTCAGGGAATGCCTCTTTTAAAGGGTGAGATTTGCACAGAGGTTTAAATGAAGTGAAGGAGCAAGATAGGTGAAGAGTTAGGGGAAGAGCATTTCAGGAAGAAGGAAGTGCAAGTACAAAGGCCCCAATGTGGGAGTGAGCTTGACATATTTGAAAAACACTTAGGAGGCTGGTGGCTTTTTATATAATAAACTGAAAGATCATGGTAGATTCAAGTCCAGAGTTGCCACTGGGGCCTATATGTGGGAGAAGCTCACTAGGATACCATAGAAAGAGGAATGGAGCCGACTTGCAGAGAGAATAAGACCAGATGGCCTTTAACAGGCGATGAGCTGGGCTGTCTCAAATTATGCTCCCTGTCATTTCCAATTCCTGTCTATCCTGAAAACAAACACCTTCCCCCACCCCAACGTATCCTTGTGTCTGCCTCAAGCCCCCCAAATATCCTAGTTAGAATGGTACATAAGGTCTCATTTTATTGTTGATGCATTTAAAAGATTGGTTATTATTACTCCATGTTGATGGTGAGGAAGCCAAGATACTGCTAATTCAATGGCTTAACTCAGCTCTCAAATCAAGTTTGTAACTGGAAGTAAACTGGACCCTACACCATCTGACTTCACACTGCATGTCTATATATTGGTCAAATTAAATTTATGGTTCTGGTTCATCTTAGATGCAGCTTGTCTTAAAGAACAAGACTCATAGAACTAAATTACCTTTACCCCAAATGTCCATCTGCAAACTGAAAGGAGTCTGATTACCAAGGGAAGAAGTAGTAATTGGAGGGTCAAAGTGTACTATTAAAAAAAAATCATCTTCCTTGAAAAGTGAAAAACAGCTCTTTCTTAACACTATGCTTCACTAATAAGTTTGTTTTGTCATCTAA